TATCCCTCTATTCCTCTGAGCAAAGATATGAAATAGTCGCATTGCTTTTGATTTGTATCTGTGTTTGTGTGTGTGACGTGCTCTAGTTAAAAGTACCCTAAGTAACAGAGACATGGAAGATAACCTATTTTAAATATTTATAAAATCAAATTATTTTCAAATCATCAAAGGATGATATATATCCTGATAAAAGATAGATGTCTTTAAGGTATTATTGATTTTGATAAGAAATTGCATGCCTGCAGGCAATAGTATTATTTGCTAGTAAAAAAAAAAAGGATTAAGTTGCTTCATATATTTTATGTGGTGCAGTATAACAGCACATCAATCCTGTGGGAATTCTATAATATTTTTTCTTATTAACTTCTAATTAAGCCTGAGTGATTTTAGAAGAGATAAACTGGCACATTTCTCAGTATCATCTTTCTTTCTTGGTAGAGAATATCACGTCTAAATCCTACTAATCTGAACAGGAAAGATCCTTCAGTTTCATTCAGGGTAACAATATTTAGTTGGATTTGTGCCTCTTGTAGAATCGTTTAGAAGGAAGAAGAGCTAAATAATTTGTACAGCAAATGCATAAAAATATTTCAGAAATGAAGAAACTAACATTTCAGATTTATAGTTTGACATCAGGTAAAACACAAAGTAAGTGAGGTTTTTACATTTGCACAAAGATAATGTTTTTTATCCCCCTCTAATATTGTACACATGCTATTTCCACCCTAAATTCTTAACCACATCACTTTATGTGGTCTGCATGAGAAGGGGAAGAGGTTTGTCTTTAGGAGGTGCATATAAATTGAGCCCTTTTATTTACAAATCCAATAAACTGCTGCTTATAGTGATGGAATGGACCTCCTGAAATGGAGGGCACTGGACTGGTCAGGAGGGCTCAGCACTTTGGGGCTTTATCTCAGCCCAGAGGCATCCAGCTGTGCAGTCAGGCTGTGCTGGTGGGAGATGGAATGCCGCTGTAGGATTGTGCCGTGTGAACACAGAAGGAAAACGTGAAAGAACGTGAAGTTATCAGGATCCAGAAGGTGTTTGGTTAAGTCTGCACACAAAATGTTTCCTTAAGTTAGGAGTCTCAAAACAATCCCTCCTCTAGCCTTAGAGGTCTAGAGGATCTAGAGGCCAGATGGAAAGAGATCTAGAGGATTTCTACAGCAAGTGAATTGAAATGTGTCCATAGATTTTTCATTGCCCCTCACCCCACTCTCTGTAGGGAATGTTGTGTGTAATGATTTCTTTTAAAGTGTAAGTAGCAGAAGAACACTTTTGCTATGACAAATTCCTATCTCTAACACAATTTGCCAGTATTATTTCATCACAGTTATTATATCAGTAAACCCACATCATCCAACACAGTGGTCACACTAGGTGCAGCAACACTGTAATCACCTGAGAACAAAGCAGAATTGACATATAACCTCAGGCATGACCTAAAACTCAGATCAGCTGCAGGAAAACATTGTCAATAGCAAATTGAATAACAAGTTTACAAATTTATTCCCAGTAATATTTCTTATGCAATTTAAGTGCCTATTTAATGTCTCCCATCTCTTTGCATTTTATCTCACCTCATGAGATTTGTATTGTAGCGTTTTATAATTAAATAACAGTAGAGATAAAAATGCAAGTATTTTGATTTTATTTATAGCTGTGAAAGCATGCTTTACAATTTATCATTCAGCCCAGGAATTCAGTTATCTTAAAAGGAAAATAAATTTTCCAATGACAAGTACCAGTTACGACTAAAAACTTTGCATTTACCACTAATAAATCTAATCTACATGCATTAAAGAGGACAATTTTGCTGACACTTTTTTATTACTTGGTTCCACTGTAATATTTCATCTGTTTCAGTAGATGCATGTAATCAAAATAAAGAAGTAACTGAGATATCTCTGTTTCTGATGTGGTACATGGCATTCTTAAATATTGCTGATACGACACATTTATTTACTGTAAAGTATAATAAATAATTTTTTGTACCATGAGTAATATTTAATTTGTTGCCCAGAAACACAAGACATTCTGTAGACATTTCACAAAAGAATGGTGAATTGCTTTATTGATGCACATGGTGAAAGGAGAATCAAGGCTTTGGTTTTGAAAAGTAATTCACCTGCTTCTAAAAAAAAAAAAAAAGAAAAAAGGGTTCACATGTCCATTGAGGAAAAGGTTGAAGGCAAATCTCTGTAAGTAAGCAATAGCTATCAGAATGCATTAGGCAGGACTAACTAATACACTACCTTCGTACCCCTGACCTTCCAGACACATTTGGAGATAACATTGATTCTTCTGACAGCAGACACAAATCCTCACAGGTCTGTGGGAAGATATTTCAGCTCTGCATTGAAACTATATTTCCTGTAGCATGAAGTCAATCATTTTAGAAGATTGACAAGATAGAAATTTTGAGTTATACAGCAGTACAATGCATGCTATAGCCTACACTTTGCAAAAATATAGGCATGATCTTATAATGCTCATACTAAGATAAGTTTCTTCTGTATGGCAGTTGGAGAATGGTCTAATCTGGGCCTAATCATCAGTGTCTGGCAGCAATAAGGCAGCAGCTTAAAATAAACTGCCAGTTGAACACTCTGAAAAGGGATTTCCGGATCCAAACTTTCAAGACCTAGATGTTCCTGTAAAAGAGAAGAAGCAAGTAGATTGAGGAGGGAAAACAAGGACACATAGAAGAAACAGCTTCCTAGAATACTTCATTTGTTTGTTTGTTTCCAAAAACATCTACTGGAAATTTGGTGTGAGAATACATATAAGTTGAATTTGTTGCTTTTACATGAGTCCTCTTGAATATATATTGATGCTAAGCTGGATTTATGGAATTACCAGTGTGTTTCACTTTCTTCTCAGTTATTTGTAATATTAGAAAGGTTAGGTTAGTGTTTGTTTACCATCATCTCATTCTACATTTTCAGCACAAACCCTTTCAGTCTGGGTGCAAGTAGATGAAAAAAAGTAATAAAATGCAGATTTTGTAAAATACATTAAATATTGTATCCTGGCCACATTTCAGGAAAAATTGCAAGCTTTATATAGAGCTATGCATTTTGTCAGCATATATATTGTTCTGTGACACAGTTTAGGCAGAAAAGAAGCAATAAAAAAACATAGGAGCACTTGCCTGTATTTGCACTGTCACCTTTGTGCTACCAGCTTTGCCCATTGATTGCCTTGTCTTTATCTGTAATTGGAAGCAAATGTTGGGTAACTCGATGGCACCTCAGCTCTTACCTGTGTGCTGGTGCCCTGCTCCCTCACCCCATCCACATGCTGCCAGAATAGGGCAGCATGTCTTGGGGTCCAGTTCTATCATCTATTTCCCGGGCAGGAAACCTCTCCACAGGAAAGAGGGATTTATAAGGCATGGCTTTGGTTCAAAAGACGTCACAAGTATCCAAGGAAATGGCAAACGCTGAAGGAGAGGAAGGGAAAATATATGGGAAATTTCTTCATGTATGGGTAGAATAATTTTGGAAGTAGGCATTTAAACAAATTCATCTTGATTCTTTTAAAATCTGCAAATTTTTACTGCTGTCCAGAGATAAACATATTCTCCCCTTACTTCTGTGAAGGAAGTTGCACCTGTAGCAGTGTTGAAAAAACAGTGTGCTGTTACCTCAATATTTTCTTTTCACCTACAAAACTCATCTGTATATTATTGGCATAGTATTCTGTCTCTTTCCACTAGAAATGAGGATGTTATAAGACCAGCGTTGGGAATCTGTGCCCTGAGATAAAGACTGCAAAAAAGCAGGAAGTGTTAAGGGACACCACAAAACACTCTGAAGAAACACCCCCAAATTCTTGTGACAACAACCTTATTTGACTCTCAAAAATCCAAAAATAGGCTCTGTTATTTCAGCTGTTTGTCTGGGAGCTTCATCAACTGGTAGCCAGAATAACTCAGGAAATATATAGATCTGTTCCTGGATTATTCAAGACACTGAACAAAGGAAGGTATCCAAAGGTTCTTGGAGACCTGGAACTGCATGCTTGCCTCCCTTTTTTGTCCAGCAAATGCTTCTGTGAGATCTATGTCTAACCAGGCAAGAATTTGAGGACTGTACCAATTAGGCTTAGAGGAGTTTTTCTCAGATAAAAAAATTCACTAATTCCAATGATTCATCATCACTAAATGCCTTGGGGCTTGCATGCAGTATTTTTCTCTCTCCAAGTTTCAGCAGCACACTGGAGAGATTGTCAAAAAATTATTTTCCCAATGTCTCAAAAAAAGGACTGAAAAAAAAGGCAGTTTAATCCTAACATTTCTAGATCACTGGAGTTGCTCTCTGTTAAAGATGATCAGATGGAGACTGACTGTGACCATGGATGCTCAGTGAGTGCATGGTACTGAGCCTGCTCTCCAGGAACTTTCACTTAGGGGAAGTCTTCCCTACAAATAAAAGACAGGGTAGTTGCATGATTTTTCTTAGTTGTAGTTTCACACTGTGTTAACTCCAACTTGAGATGATGTGTATTAAGTCTTTCACTACAGCAGAGAGGGAAATTTGGAATTTGAAGAGTGTTTTATTACTGTTTTTCCTTTGCCCTTAGAAAAATGCTCTTGCACCTTTAGAAAAAGAAAGTACCTTAAGAGTTCAGACTTGCCTAAAAAGCAGTAAAGAATACTTCAGCTATTATATATGAAGTTTTTCTAAATTGCATTTTTTCTTTCAGAAGGCCCACTAGAAATATACTGCCTTGAAAATTCATTATTCCTCTTCTTTGTTAACTCCACCTCCTATCCTCAAATGTGAGGATGGAAGATGCAGTCCTCATAGTGGAACTCTTTTTAGAAGTTCCTAAATTGAGGCAAAGAAATAAATGTGGGACTTTATGCTAATAACTCATGTTTCAATACAAGCATATTGTGATAAACCTTGACAGTAAGAAAGTATTGATTTAACTTCACACCTTTTTTTTTTAATATCAACATGAATGAATTTTTTTTTCTGTTTCCTCAGAGCTTGAGGCAGAGGAATGGTGCAAACATCTTTGCATGGAATGCCTAGGGGCCAGGCTCAATGATATAAGTCTTGGGGAACCAGATTTGCTTGCTGCTGGAGTCCAGAGAGAACAAAATGGTAAGTAACTTTTTATTTGCTCCTAAATCGGTTCTTAGGTGATATCCCTTGTCATCTTTGCTTGTGCTTGTTGTTGTGAGGACTTTTGCTAGTAGCTGGAAGCACGTAATTAGTAACTAAATACTTTTGAATACATTTGGATACGCTTTTGAAGCTCAACCCTATTTTTTTTTTTAACAAATAAAGATGATTCAATTCCGTGCCAAATAATACATCTAGAGTGACTTTGTGTCTTCATTGTGTTCCCTGTCACGGGAAATGACGGCCATGACCCTTCTGTTTCTGGAAAGGATGGCTCCTGTGCAGAGGAATAAAGCAGCAGCTGTTGTTTTGCAGACTTTTAAGGACAGCGATGAACATACCAACAGCAATTTGGACTGCAAAACACATATTTGCTTTAAATTCCTACCTGTCTTGAATATTGAAGTCAGGATCATCTAAATGCTGTCAAATATGGGTGAAAAGGGCAATGACAGATGTTAGCCAGCACTAAGCCTGAGTTGTAAGTCTTCATCTAAAGGCTATTTGGATTAGACACATGCACAGGAAGAATGCTACTGGATGGAATAGGCAATAGCAAAACAAAATCTGTGATTACCCTGTCATTTAATTCCTATTAATGAACACGAGGGCAACACAAAATGTGCTCATTTAGTCCTCCCTAAATTGCAGCTCTCAATGATTATTACTGTCTTGATGCTTTTATAAGATCCAATAGCTTTCAACAAAGTAATAACACACTGCCTCAATGGTCATAAAATATCAAGCCAACTTTCATTATAAACAAAATTACGTAATGAAATTATAGAATGTATGGCACTATATTTATTATATTATTTCTCTGAACCTAATAGCACACAGCATGAAATATACAGAAATCTTTAAGGAATTTTGTTCAAAAAGCAGACATGTTGAAGTGGGATTTAAAAGAAGTTCAAATGTTCATAAAGTTGTTTGCCTGCTATGAGATACAGAATTCAATTTGTAGTCTCAAACTACTTAACAAAGGGAGAGCTACTAATGTTGTAGGAAAGTGATAATGATCAGACAGCACTCAAAGCATCCCATCTGCTATATGTTCATAAGCTATAGGTATAAAACTCATCTGCATGCTACTGAAGAGAGAACTGTGTGAACAGGTGGAGGTCTTTCACAAATGTGAAAGGAAATGAACCTTGTCAAAAGCCTGAGATGTGAACAGAAAAGTAGCTTGAAATTTGTCAAGCTCTTTCTGTAGTGAATTCATGTACTCTCCAGCAGCTTTTGGACATAGATGACAAATATTACATTTTATCATGTTCCTGAAAGAGATCCAGTTAGACATACATGACCTCTAGGAGGCATATATTAGTTCTGTTGTATGAACTAGTCTTGTTTCAATTGCCTTAGTCCAGAAATTAATTGCAGTGTTACCAACCAGCATATATGAATGTAATTATCATCTTTATTGTTCTAAGTAAATAAATGAAAGGAAACAAAGAGGCAAAGCATGTATTTGTTGTACAACTCACATGAATAATAATGCATGGAGGGTATCATTAGCTGTATTCTTTTAAAACAAGTGACTGAATACATATAATCCAATATTTGACGAGCATGCTCTGCTAAATCATTAGTTACAGTACCTCAAACAAGTAATTCTGATACCTATCCTCATCCTTCCCTCATCCCCTTGATGCACAATTTTGCATTTTAATAAGCATGTTTGAAATTCAAAGTTATCTTGTTCAGAGGCAAAGCAAATTCTGTTGTGGGTGTCTTTTAATCAACTTAGAAGGAGGAAAAAGTGCAGAGATTCTTACTGCAGGTATGAAATCTGGCATTTTGTTCATTTATCTGTGCTGTAAGAGCCCGCAGTTGCACTCAAATTCCTATAGTGGATTTCTTCAGTTGAGTGGAACCATCCCTTCAGTTTACACTGGTTATCTTATTCTGAAAACCTGGCAGTGTCATTCCCCACATGACAGTGTTATTGGGAAGGTGACTAGTGCAAGGGTGGAATCATTTGGTGATTTGGGTGGAATAATTTCAGATTTTTAGTTTATTTTTTTGCATATTTTCCCCATATTGCAGCTTTTACACAGATGCTATCCAAAACAGTAGCTCAAAAGATACCTCAAAAACTTTTGAAAGTCTACTGAGCTTTTGCTTATAAATATTCTTGTTGAGCTTTCGTTGACCTGAAACTGAAAGGTCAAAGTTAATTTTACAATTGGAAATTCAGGAACAGCACCTATGTGTATGAAGCGTCTAAAATATTGCTCTTTGTGAAAATGGCAGCTATGTCACTCTCTGGATAATTTTTTTTTTTTGTGGTAAATAAGAACTGAATAACACTGTAGTACCTTTGAATGTCATTTCTTCAAAGCATATTGCAAGTGTGTCAACTTCATAGAATTCCTCTCGAGTTAGTCAATTTATTAATGCTTACTTGAAACAGAGATGTGAGAATGCAGTTTGTAAAACATGTAACAAAGTCTCACAGCCTCAAATCTAGTTTTATTCAAGTTCTGTTGCCTGACCCATACAAAGGCTTTCTTTCAGGTCACTGAACAAAAGATGTCTCTATTATTTGAGCAAGACCACAGACTGTAATAAATATTATGATGTTAATGATTTTTCAATTTTGGAAATTTTTTTTCACACTTTTAAAGGCTAAAAGACCTTGAATAAAAGTGTCATACTGCTCATATCTCTATGATATAATATAAATTAATCCTGAAAGAACAGGTGTATTAAGCATTAATCGCATCCCATTCCACTGAGGTTTTTTCAAATAGTTAATTTTCACTAAAGATTTTCTGAAATGTGTAAAATTTGATAAAGATACTTCTTTGTACTAGAAAAACTAGCCTAATAAAGTGGGTTTTTTCATGAGCTGCTTTACTTTTCCAAGAGATAATATTTTTAATATGCAGTTTTCTTCATGTGTTCAACTACTTGCCCATTCTTGTTCTTAAAGGACATTTTAATGATGTAGGGGTATTCACCAAACACATTAGACAAATAAATTGGCTCTGTCTTAAAAAAAGACTCCAACTTTCTGAAGTGCAGATTTGTAGTTTTTTTTTCCTGTATGTGACCACCAAAGTCACTACCCTCAGTTTGCAACAATGGAAATAATTTTCATAATTGTCATTGTATGTGCCCTGGGGCTACTAAAATTGCTACATGCTATTTGTATTTTTATACACAAAAAATTACATTTCAGAAAATACTTAGTAAAGAAAATACGTGTGGTTTCTATCATTTGTTTAATACATCCTTTTATTATTTCTGAGCCTGTTTATCTTCCCAGTCTTGCTCTTGTGGTTTTTCTGAGATGAGCTTTAGATTTGAGAAGGGAAGACACCCGATTCTCTGTGGCAGAAATGCAACAACATGGTTTGCAAAACAGTTTGCTCCAAAGGCTGGCAGAAGTGCTGTTTGGTGTGCAAAGGCCATATAATCACAGGGCAGTTCTGTCACATGGCAATAGAAATTTAAGTACCTGCGAGAGGCGTTCTGTTCTAGTTCTGGGTTGGTCAGTAAGTGCCAGGGAGATCTGTTTGTTGTTTGAGCCTCCAGCACCAAGCAGCTCTGCAGTGGTGGCAGGAGAATGAGGCAAACTGTAGAGCTGCTGTGTCTTGTAGGAAGGAGAGAGAAGACATCTAAGGAATTCTTGTGCAGAGCACATCAGTAACAGGAAGCTTCTCACTGGATTTCAGCTCCCTTATTGCCTTCCAGAAGTATTACCACAAGTCTTGCTGTGTAAACTCTGCTGCAGAAAACGACTATTAGGTGGTTTTCTTTTTAAATTTAAGGCTCACAACTAATGGCTGCTTAGCCTGGAATGATGCACAAATTCCAATTAAAGTGAGATGTGAAATGAAGCTTCTGTTGCTCTCCAACCATTCTACCTTCCCTCTCCTGCAAATCTAATTGATTTGTTGGTGTACCTCAGCCCTATAGCAGCAACCTTGTTTCTGTTTAAATTTCTTTTCACACTGAACATGGTCTCTAGTGTTTATGAATTTCCTTTTAGATTTAAAATGCATTATGAAAGCAAAAGCATTAGAGGCCTCACTTCATAATCCTATTCAGGTAATTAATTTAGCATAATGGCTGTGAAGCTTTATATGCAATGATAAGACAAATAATAATACACAGTTATAACTCCATGAAAGAAAATCTGGACTAAGTTGGGTCTGATTACACTGTTGACAAGTCTTCTAAGCAATATGCTGTGATTCTTACATGCACATTTCGTAATCCTTAGGTTTCTCAAGCTGCTGCTAGGTGAACAAGCTGTGAACCTAGAGTGTTGACTTCATTTGAAAAAAATTGGAAGCTTCCTTTCCAGCTCTCAATGCACTTGGAGGCATTTGCAATACACCCCAAAACATAAAGGCAAAAACAAATTTGGGGATTTTGGGGTTCTTTTGTAATTTTTATCTTCCCAGGTGATGTCATGTCTAGAATTTCTCCGTTCTTACAATGGACAATGTGTTCAATGTGTCCCTATTTTCACTATTTAAAAAAGGAAGCAATTTGAAAGATGTCATCCAAATGGACAATATACAATAACAGACTATATGTACTGTGAAAAAGAAATCCGAATATTCAAGATAATATTGGTTAAAAAAAGCATTATTTGTAGACTATTAATAAATTCACTTTTTAGGAGCAGCTGCATCTGTTTGGTGAAGACTCTATTCCTGTCAGTTTTGAATACTAAATAATAGTACTAAAGTAGCTGAATAATTGTACTAAATAATTTTATAATAAACGTTACTTGTACTAAACCATTTTCTATTAAACTTTGTAAAACCTGAAGAAAATGGGCAAATGTTAAAAAGCAAATTTTTAAACTGAAGAAAAGGCCAGATCCATCCCTAATTCATTCCTGTGATATCAATATGAGGCTTTTTAATTACGTGTTTTGAGGCTTTGTTTGTGGTTTTGTTTTTTTTTTAATTTTGCTCCATGATAAACCTAATTTTTATTTTCAAAGTCTGGAAAAGTTTGAAAGATAATTGAATTTTTGATTTTCCTCCTTGCTGAATATTTAAATTAGTATTTCATAAAATTACTTCCTTTGTAAGGTTTTTCTTCTTTCATAACATTGGTTTTACCTTCCTTTTTTATTTAAAAACTTTCCACAGGAGCAGCAATCTTGCTTCCTGGATTTTAATTGCAAGAAACTCATTAATTCTTGCTAGTAAAAATGTAGCTTTTCATAGTGAACAACGTCCTTGAATCCTCAGAAGAGGATTATGAGGCATTTCTTTGTGCTTCATATTGAGATTACAAGCTAGAGCCAAAGCATAGAGACTTTGTAATTACATTCGCAGAGCTGACTTGTTTTAGAGCATTTTCTAGGGTCTGTAGAATCTCTGTAATTTAATACATAAAAGCACTTCACATGGTTTTTTATTCATCTTCTGTTATCCTTAATCTATTTTTATACAATAGATTTGTTTGTTGGATTTTTTTAAAATAAGTGAAACACAGCTTTATTCAGAAAAGTAAGGTGTTTGCAGTTAATCCAATGTGACTTCAGATTCTTCTCTACCTTACTACTTACCAGTGAAACAATTTGAAGCACTTACCTACCATATTTTTATTGAGATGCTTACATTTTTAATGGAAGCAAAGCAGAATATTTATAAGCAAAAAGAAAAATATTTATTCTGAAATCCTGGTTCCTCACTGCATACAGCAGAAGGGAAACATTCTAATAGCCCTGAGATATGAATAAACACAAAATGCTGCACCTTCAAGACTTTAAGCTCTCTTTCCACCTGAAAATTAGCCACAGTTGGTCAGCAGCAGAAGTCATAGGTGGAGGAGTTTCACATATAAACTGAATATCTGCTTATTTATATAGGTGCCATCAACCTGTCTCTTTCTGTAAGTAATTTTTTACCCATCATTAAAGCTGAAATGAAACCAAGCATCTGAATTGCAAGATTGCAATGTCATCTGATTGGTTTTCCAGCTGGGATGATTTAACCAAAGGAATCCAGTGATAAAATGGCAGAATCAGGATCACTGGGCTTCAGTTATTTTGTTCCCCCAGTACAGCTGGAAGGCTGAGAACATTTTGGAGTTGCTGCCAAGTCTCAGTCTCAGTCAATATGCTCATTTTCATAAAGACTCTTATGCTCCTGTGCCCTAGAAAGCATTATTAAATGTTGCATTCTTGCCAAAGCCCAAATGCTAAACACCTTTACATGCACTAAGTGTATTAGGAAGCATTGCTCTGCTTATTCAAGGAGATGGGAAAGAGCAGTCACATTGAGTGGAATAATAAGTGTAGCAATATATCATCAATTTTTTCTCATCCTGGGTCTCCCACTCCCTGAACTTTACTCTCACCAGTTTAGGGAAGGGAGGAGGATAGGAATCCTGAATGCTGAGGAATTGTGCCTGTTCAGTCCCAGTCTTATCTTGTCCAACAAGGTTTCTTCTATCTCCCTACTTTCCAGGACCCTTATTAACTTCTATTTGCTTAATCTTACTATCCAATGAACTATTATTATTCCATCCTACTCGTATGCAGATGGTATCTGAACCAAAGAGAAGCAAAATAACCTATTCAATGTCACTCAGAAGATTTGGTGTCAGAATTCAGCTGGGATTCCCAAATCTGACCTGCAATGAATATTTGTTTTTGCCTCGATAAGTGTAAGGGCAAAACACGCCACTAAAGATGGAATGACTGTATTACCATTAGCTAGATACTTGTTCAAATATTTTCTGAAATGGAAAAATTTGACTCTGCATGTTAATTAATAAAAGCATTTAATAGTATCTACACCTTTCCGTGTCTTCAGCTGCCCACTATTCAAAAGTAATTTTTGTTCCAAAAGCAAATCTATCTATCCTCAATCTTCTCCAGCACATATGTTTGTACACTTGTTTTTCTTGCCAATTTGATTCAGTTCCAAGGGTGCTACGTTTTGCCCTGCAGCTGATGTTCACTTTAATCAGACATACTTCCTTTAATCCCTGACATCTCACCTTAGACACTGACCTCCCGTGCAAAGTCAGCAAATGTCTCCTGACAGTTTGAGGATACCATATGTCCTGAATGCCCTTCATGCAATAATATCCTCAAAGACATCAGAGAAGATGAGAATTTCCTGACTATTCTGGTAACATCTAAAGCAAGTTGAAATATTTTGTGCCTCCACACAACAGTTTAATGTTTACTTCAAAAAATAATTGTACCTTTTCATTTTCTCTGCTGTCTGAAGCATTCTGTCGGTGAAGATGGGGAAAGACAAAGATTTTCATTCTGGTATAGTAACCCCATCCCCCCATAGATACACTGTGTTATTTCGTGTCATGCAAGAGAGAAAGAGCTGACAGGCCAGTTACTGCATCTTTCTTTCAAATAGAGGAGGGAAGCAGCAATAACTGACAGCCAGGCAATGCAAAGCTGGAGTCTAATATTTGATAAAAACACACCTGCACAGTTGTGAGGAATTTCTGTGTGACGATCCCAATGACATATGGATACTGAAAGGGTGTATATACATATATGTATACATACATATATATAGATGTAATTCCAGTGCAAAGTGAAAGTTACCTTGTTCATCACCATTCCCTTCCCAATGCAGTCTTTGACCCGTTATTCCCAAGTGTGAGTCCTTCCATTTAGTTTAGTAGGCATTACATTAAACCCCTGCCCCATTCACTCCTCTGAGCACCAGGGGAGATTCTCCTCAGTGATCTCAGCAGCCTCTGCTAATCTATCTGTGCTGTGTGTCACAAGACTTTCACAAAATGTCTGGACTTTTACACATGGGATCCTAGTCATAAAATTAAACTTTTTCGGCTAAAACCCATTAGTGTGACTAATGAGAACTTGAACTTGGAAGAAGAGGTTGTGACTAAATGAATCAATTGGGGAGTCATTAATAGGACAAAATTAAATTGACTGAAACAGAACAACATTGGGGATGACAAGTTTACTTATAGCAATGCAGCAATTTTTATTGCTCAGCCAGCAATTCTTTGTTTTCTCTAATACCTCAAACCTTTGCTATTTTATTCACATACACACAAAGTCACACACACTTATATTTTATATTAACTTACTTGCAATATTTCAATTGTTTAGTCAAAAACATATATATATATCAAATGTTTAGAAATTAGAGACATAATGTCTATGATACTGAATTTCAAACAGAATGGGAAGCTGATTTTGAGCATTGCAGTAAATTTCTCTCACTTAAATTTAAATTCCTTCCTAATTTTTATGAGGACAGTGTGAGAAAATTCAGTTCCAGTGGTGAATTAAAGATATTCCACTCCAAACCCTTTTTACTTATCAAGTAATTGGAGGCAGTTTTCCTATCAGTTGTCCCTCTAAATAACATTTTCCTAATATTGTTATTGAATAAGCATTGCTCATGCTCATACTTTAAACTCTTCTTACCTTTTTTGTCAACACCCTTCAGGCAGTAGAACTGATATTTTGCATTTCTACCCATTTCAAAAATGAAAAAAAGGATGAGAGGAAATTTTTTAATGTACTGCACTCTCCCATATGATGTTATTAAGCCCTGACATTGCAATGCATGTATCGTTAAAATATAGGCTGGCACTTCCAACTGTACCACCAGAAATTTAACTGAGTTTTTCATTCTTTTTAGAACCAACTCATAGAAACATTAGTTATTCGTCAAAGAAAAACACATTTTTATTTAAATTTCTCTTCCTAATAAGGTTTGCTTCCTTACATATGAGTTAATGGTGTTTTGCATCATCTTGGTTTTTCCCTTTTTTCCATTTTTTCCCTTTTTTAAGAATTTTTTTGCATTGCTTATTAAATCACATGCAATTCAGGCACTTCAGAAAATTATTAATGCCCTTGACTTCCTACTGCAATAAGTGCACTTTGCAAGCAAAGTACAGCTGATAGTGATTGATGTCATGACCATAATAATATATCATATTGAATCAGATGTTTCAAGAAAGCAACAAATGATTGAAATTGTTATTAATATTGCAAATAAAAATGACTTTGGCAAATAAACAGAAACTGGATGCAAGGAATGTAATTATTAACAAGCTTCAATAAGTAAACTTGGATTTGCAATTTCAAGGGCAACATTTCTAAGAGGCAATGGTTGCATATACATATTTTTACCAGAATTTTGCCTTTAGTTCTGTTCTTGGAGAGAGGAGCCTCTGTCAGAGTTCTCATCATTGTGAATTTGGATTTGTAAAGAGTCATGGACCTTAATGTGAGGGTAGAAAAGGACTTCAGTAAAGGTACTGGGAACATATATCCCAAAGGACTATGCAGATCATCTGTGAAACATGTTTCAGATTGCTGCATCATTTATAAGGAAAATGAAATGAAGATGATTCTCCTCTTACTCCTCTCTGATGCACTAGCAGGACTGTTTCAGCATCGGTGAATCCTCAGCTCTGTTAAAGCCAAAAATTTGGCTTTGATTTCTGGATCATCAGAACTAAAGACTTTATTTCAATTTTTTTTTCCTCGGTATGATATCTTACTTTAACCTGTGATATCTTACTTTGTGTTTTTTTTCCAGAACGATTCAATGTATACCTTATGCCTACACCAAATTTAGATATCTATGGGGAATGTACAATGCAGATCACACATGAAAACATCTATCTCTGGGACATCCACAATGCCAAGGTCAAGCTGGTCATGTGGCCTCTGAGCTCTCTGAGGAGATATGGACGGGACTCAACGTGGTTTACATTTGAGTCTGGAAGGTAAGAGCTAAGGACATGCAAAAAAAAAAAAAGAATAAATAAGATTTTGTTTTGTTTTTTTAATAAGCAGTCTGATATGTTAGATAAGCCTCTCCTCATAAAGTGAGACAGAATACATGGCCTGTCCATAGACTTCCCTTTGCTGAATATTACTTTTCAGTATATTCAGGCCAGTGTTTGAAATAAGTGTTAATATGTCTCATATTAAAAATGAGCTTAAACTCTCTGACTTTTATTTAACTGTGATTGAAATGTCATTCTTAAGGTTTATGAGTCTCTCTGTGCTTAAACACTAGTGTGGTATGATTTGAGTACTTTTGATGTAGAAAAAATTAATTCTGGATCATGGAAAAGGCTCACCACACAAGTATGAATGGAATAACTTCCATTACAGTGGATATTACTCTTTTTGGATGCTCCTGATGACAGATTGCCACTCTAGAGTATAATTGCAAGCAGGAGTACAGAGAACATTGTGAACCTATAAAAAGGCTAGCTCTTTTTCCTGCCTGCAGTTTTAATCCTCATTGTCATTTCCATCTTCAGATCAGTTTTAAATTTCCATAGAGCTCTGTTTTGTCTCTCTTTCATTTTTTTTAAATGCATTTCATATCTTGCCATTAGGTTCAGTGCCTTTTCTGCATTTCTGCACAAAAATAGTTCTGCATTTAACTCTCCTTCTGGTGGTGTTTCAGCTTGTATTTTATGGTTCTAGACTATTGTTTTTTATGGTTTGGTTGGGTTTTTTTATGGCTCATCATACTCCTTTATGAGGAGCCTGAATTTTCTGAAGCCATCTGTGAAATTACAGGTGTCTCTACACTCTTGGGTTAGACTGTCTTGTTAAAAAAATCTTTATATGCCTTTTGATGTTTGCTTATTCAATACTATTAACAGATATTCACAAAAGTACAGTTAGTGATCAGAAACAAAACCACGGATCAAATGGCCCCTACTGTCTAGGGGAATAATGGCTGAAATTCCTCTGCCACTTCTATAGCTGGGATTACCATTTTACCACTAATTTGTGTATGCAGACTGCTGTCACTAGGCCATTTTGGTTCTCTGTTAGTTTACTGTGATGAGCTCACATGAAGACATCAGTGGGGTTATTTAATATTTTTTCAGTAAAAATAAGCAAAGCTGACCCATGTTTCAACTTTATTTCAGTGATTAAGCTGAGGGGTTTATTCAAACACATAATTATAGCATGAATTAGCATTTCAAGCCTCCTACAGTATTTTAATTCCATTTCAAGCCTCCTACAGTATTTTAATTCCATGCTATTCCATTCTGAATATCATTTGCTCCTACAGTCCACAAACCATATGACCTGATGAAAAGTGGATTGTTTTCCTATGTTTTATTATTATGAGATAGCTCTGCCTTTATCTGTCATTGTCATGCTTTATTGACTTTGATCTGATTCCTCCCTTTTTGCTTGCTTGGGAGTACTTTATCTATCTGATTTGGAAATGCATAAAGGTAAAAATATAGGGCTAGAGAAAAGTTGGTATCTTCAATAACATCTGAAGGCTATTATATAGGGCAATAATAGCACTCATTTTAAAATCTGTTCTTCATTTGCTTGGGGTTTTATTTTTATTTTTTAATCAACAAGTCATCTTTCTCATCTTTCTGAACATGATTTTCTTTGTCCCCGATCTGCTAGTACCTTAATACAATAAATTCCTGATGCATGTTGTTTTATCAGAAATGAAGCACTCATCCATGTTTTATGAGAATGTTATGCTGTAAAGGTGTTGTTGCTTTAATTTTTCCCTAAGGCTTAAATATTAAATGTAGGCAATTGCTTTAAATAGGTTATTATGTTTTAGTGTGTTTTAGCAGATATCCAGTATATGTGTATGAGGTTTGCATGAACATTAGAAGCTCAGTTTTATATATTTATTTTACACCTGGAGTTTTCATATTACTTTGTGTGAGAAAATAAATCCCTTCAAAAACATAAATGGACATATTCACAAAGAGATACTGTGTTAAACAAATTGATCAAAATTAAGGTTTTTGACAAATTCATCTTTTAATAAATATATTGCTTTTCATTTAAATGGAATATGAACTTGGATGTATAAAACTGAAGTGCACGTTTGTCTAATGAAATGCAATGACTACACCATTTGAAGAATGTTTAAAATATGGGAGGAATGAACTCAGATTCTTTTAATCTGCCAGATTTTTCTGTTTAGTTTTGCACTGGATTAGAGTTTGTAAATATGTGCATTTGCGCTATCTATGAAATTAGACTTGTCCTTATTTTTTATTATTTATTGAACCAATGAAAGTAAGTATTCCTTGCTCAGTAATTTCCTTAATCTGTCTTTTTGTATATCCAAACCCTGCTGAGATATGGGGAAAGAACAGTTTTGTGTGGCTTTGTTCAATGCTGGATGGAGAGATTCTCATTACCTAAAGTACCTGATTAGGGCTAATCCCGTGCAATCTCTTCACCTATCAGAAAACAGCCATTCACAACTCCATTAGGCACTACAATGGCTTTGTGCAGATTAATGCTGTTTATCTAACACACTGAATGGATCAGAGCACAGCATTTACGTTTTTAACATCTAGGCTTTCCAACTAACCAGTCTTGCGCTGGACTGGGGAGTCCTGCTGGTTTTGGAAGGGTTAATTTTCTTCACAGCAGCTGGTATGGGACTGAGTTTGGGATTTGTGCTGAACACAGGGTTAATAAATAACCCAGGGATGTTTCAATTATTGTTGAGCAGAGGTTGCATAGAGTTAAGGATTTTTCTGCTCCTCACCCCACCCCACCAGCAAACAGGGTGGGGATGCACAAGGAGTTGGGAGGGGACACAGCTGGGACAGCTGACCCCAACTGACCCAAGGGACAGTCCTGTACTGTATGGCATCATGATGAGCATATAAAGCAGGGGGAAGGAGAAGGAATAGGGGGGACATTTGGAGTGATGGCGTTTGTCTTCCCAAGTCATTGTTATGTGTGGTTGAGAGCAGTTTTCCTGGGAATGGTTGAACACCTGTCTGCCACTGGGAAGTGGTGAATTATTCCCTTGTGACATTTTGCATGTGCACCCGGCTTTTTTTTTTTTTTTTTTTTTTACTTTACCTATTCCCCTGTATGTCATCACTTTTACCCTTCTAATTTTCTCCCCCATCCCAGCGGGGAAGTAAGAAAATGGCTGTGTAATACTTTGTTGGGATTAAACCATAACAGGAGTTTTAGAGTTTAATCATCAAAGATTCATAGGATTTCCTTAGCTCATGGATGTATATAATGTGTTCAGACACGTCATTCTCATTATTTTGGATATTGGATACCTTGGAGACACTGTAGAGTTGACCTGCATGGGTGCACTTTCTTCTCTTCAGACTTTTGGAAGTGCTGCTCCATCTACATGGGCTAAATTAGTCCTTGACTGTCTCAGATTTTAAGCCTCTGAAACGGGAAGTGTGTCCCTACAGAGCTGCCCACCCTAGCTGTCCAGGTGAAGTTGCTCTTAATTTGCAGGGGATTGCAGCAAGTGCATGCAATTTAAGAAACATGGCAGAAAAGTAGTAAAGCAGCTACAGGTGAGACATTTCATAGTCCTGATCAGGTGTGAAGACATCCTCGTTAGTCTCTTGTCCAAGTTACAGGATTCATTTTGCTGATGTTTGTAAACCAAAAAATGCATTGTAAAGGCCATAAACAATGTTTAAACTCCACTCTCTGGTAACTGCAAAAGACAGTTGTCCAAGCTTTCCTTTTAGCTAAACAAGCTGTCTGAGGCATCTTTTTAAGAGCATAAGAGGAGTCTCGTAAGTATTCAGAATTGAGACACAGAGAAAATTAAGCACATATGGACTCCTTGTTCATTTGAAATGTTTTTTCTTTCGCTTTACTGTAATTTTGTCTTTTACGTTATTTTCTATGAATGGAAGCTGTCTGGTCAAGTGAAATAACTGGCCAGAAGTTAAAACCCAAAAACCTGAAGTCAAATTAAACGTAGTCAGAAAATAGGGGATGGGCTGTGGAAGCTCCAGCCAAAATTTGTCGAATTTTGTGAGTTTCCAGCAGACTAGAGAGTTTAAGGCAGAAGGATTTTTCTTGGATTTTTGAAAGCAGAAGGAGTCACAAATCTATTACACACTCCTTTTTCTGAAATACATTTTCTTTTACTTTGTAGAAAATATGTTGAAATTTATACAATTTCAAGTATTTTCAAGTTAATTCATGTTGTGCATTCAAAGAGATTCATTGAACCACATTAAACTATTCCTTATTTATTTGCCTTTGATTTGGGTTTTTTTGTTCATCAGAGAAAATTTAATGAAATATGGTCTTCTCTATCACTTCTAAGATCTGGAATCTGTTTCTTTGGCTAGAAAAATATTAAGCTCAAACATTATACAGTGGTGACATGAGAATTTCTCAGATTTTTTTTCCCAAGACTGATATATTCATTTTCTCTGTGGTAGATACACAGATGCCAGGGTTATCTGAAGCAGAAAGTTCACTGTTTGCTTCAGGCACTACATCTGACTGAAATGTTTCATTTGTCTGTCAGTCCTCTGTGGTGATTTTTGGTGTTAATATGAAATGTATTAGTCAATTAACCCTTAAAACTCACTCATAGAAACTTGATCTTTTTTGCTTATGTGGGAAGAGGCTCCTTATGTATGTGTCTCATGAGACAGCTGTCATGGGACTTCATACACTGTTGTACATCCTGAAGAGAAGCCTGCAATTCCTCATTGCTGGTGGATTATCTAAATAGTGGATTAAATTTATCTATCATGGGTTTACGATAGAATTATAAATCACATATTATAAATCATTCTAAATATGATTGTAAATCATAAGCTTGTGATAGAATTTGTGAGTCACTTCGGGTTGGGCAGCAGTATAAGTATATGTGCAGCTTCAATAAATAATTTATCATTTCACATAAATGTTAGCTCAGAGCACTCAGTATCCCACACTTTAAATAGTTAAGTTTGCTAGGATCTTTTCCTCC